CTTTCTGCCATCAGTATCCGCATGTAATTTCGAAACTTCAAACCCGTATTTTTCGAAAAAGCAAAAACTGCAATTGAGCACCTTATCCTCCAGCCCCACGAATATTTTTTTTCTGTTTGAGCTCTGTTTATGTTTTTAGCTTTATTTCTATCATAAATGATACAGATTATGAGTTTATTCGAATAAACGATGGGAATCATCATGGAAGAGGTTAACTTTACGAATACGTGCGAAACTACCTGGGACCTGGAATTTTACAAGGAGCAAACATTTTGTTTACCAAAAAACTTGGCTCCATTCCTACCGAACTCGATTCAAAAGATCCTGACCGTGGAGGATTTCACCAAAAGCATTCCAATGTCGCTAACCTTGCAAACATAAACGATCATCTAAACTAGTTTTACCTCTACTCCCAATAAACTATGAATTCAAGACGAAAATTACCGTCGCAAAGTTTACTTTTTGCAAAGAATGTACCTAAGTTGCACAATCCTAGCAACATTGAAATGCTCTCAGTTCCTTTTTGCAAAATGCGATCCAATTGGTTGTTGCTGCAAAAAAAATAGTTTCCCACAACCTGCTATACAATGCTCCAGTGACCATGTAAGTTGGTCCGAGCACTAACTTTTCGGGAAGAAAGCCTTTCCCCTACCTGGTTTCTCACTTAATATCCGCCCGAGTTTCGCATATCTTCAGTTTCTCCTCATCGCAGCTCCCATCAAACCGCAATTGCCCGGAAACTAGGACCGCACATCTTATCTGATAAAATCGTTCGCCCTTTAGACCGATCCTGGGGGGTTAAGCTAGACTAGTCGATGAGTCAACTGTTGATCTAATTTCATTACGTGAACGTAGAAGAAAAACGGGGTAAAAAATCACTAATGTGTGATCAATTATTAAGGACAATTCTGTAATTTCTCCTACGATTTTAAATAGATTAAAACGCGTAATATCGAAAATCTAGGCTCAGATTCGGATTCCTCGTGAAAAACTGATGAGATTTCATGCATGAAATTTTAGAATAGCATGAAGGAAAGAGGTTTAATGACGTAAAAAAACACTAATGTGTGATCAATTTTCAAGGAAAATTCTGTAAATTCTCTTACGATTTTAAATAGATCAAAACGCGTAATATCCAAAATCTAAGCTCAGATTCGGATTCCTCGCGAAAAATTGATGAGATTTCATGTATGATATGTTAAAATAGCGTGAAGGAAAAAGGTTTAACGACGCGTATAGATTCTGTCATACTGCCCCTTTGAACTACGCCGCGGCGGCGTTTAGCATTCGGTTTCGTCCCGAGGAATTCCGCACGATAAATTCTTATTCTTCCTCCTCCGCTGACCCACTGAGCACTACCCATGTTGCCACGTTGGATTCATATGCTCAAATCAGTATGTCTACGTTACGTCTCTTTCCTTCACGCTATGCTCGGGTATGATACATGAAATTGTATCAATTTTTAACGAGGAATCCGAATCTGAACTTCGATTTTGGGTATCACGCGTTTTAAGTAAAATTTTTCAACTTCAAAAATCCGAAATGACTGAAGTGGTAAAATGCCATTTCGGCTCCTGTTTGATGGATTCTCCTGAAATTCGGTGTCAGGGTATGATACATGAAATTGCATCGATTTTTTACGAGGAATCTGAATCTGAGCTTCGATTTTGGGGATCACGCGTTTTAAATCAAAATCTGTCAAAATTCAAAAAATTCAAAATTCGAAAATCCGAAATGGCTTAAAATGCTATCTCGGCCCCTGTTCGATGGATTTTTCTGAAATTCGGTGTCAGGAGGTATTTTTCGACAGGAAACTCGAATTTTTAGTCCATTTTCTAAAATTCTCAAATTCAAGATAGCGGACGTGAGCTAAAATGCTATCTCGGTTTCTGTTTGTTCGAGTCTTGTGAAACGCGGTATCACACGGTATTTTTCAACGGAAAACTCGAATTTTTAGTCAACTTTTTAAAATTCTCAACTCCAAAATGTTGGATGTGGCCTAAAATGAGCCCCAGTTCTGGCCTCCGTTTCTGTTCGTTTAGAGCTTTGTGAACCGCGGGATCAGGGGTACTTTTCGACGGAAAACTCGAATTTTTAGTCGATTTTTGAAAATTCTCTAATCCAAGATGGCGGACGTGGCCTAAAATGCTATTTCGGCTCCTGTTCGATGGATTTATGGCGCCCCCTTACTACATGCCTACTCTTATTGTATTTCTGTACAGCCGCAAAGAGGTGTGTGAAAAAACGGCCAAAAATGCCTCAAGGCATTTTCGAATTTTTATCACTTGGGGTGATACAGTAGCTTCCGAGACGCCCAAAACCGGTCGCCGTTTTGCTTAGAAGCGCCGGGTTGCGACGTTGCCATTTTTTAAAGTGGNATTTTTAAGAGTTTTCACTTCAAAAAATGGCAACGTCGCACATCGACAGCCGAAGGTGAAAATACGGCTCTTGTGTTACACCTTACTGCTCTGTGTAATTATTTCAACGTAAATTGAACATAAGGGACCCCCAGTTCGCCAATGACTTAGTGATAAGGCGCATTCACATTGCGCAAAAGCGCATGTGACCAACTTTGAGCGGTCATATCTCGGGAACTAAACGTTTCCCCGGAATGATCTTGTGCTCGTTAGAAAGGTGAGAATCTGAACTTTCATTTAGACTGGTTTTTGTTTAGATTCCGTCGATTCCACGATCGTGGTAAAATAATAACTAAATTTTTGTGTCTATCAAAAACTGCTAAAACCGCGTAAGTGCCACTTAAAGCCAAGTAAATCCTAGAAAACTATACACCACTAGAAAGCTCTATTTAAGAGGAACATTTTAAAAAAAAGTTCATTAAAATCGGTTGAGATGCGGCGGAGATATGAATTTTTAAAGGTTTCCACTTTAAAAAATGGCAACGTCGCAACCCGGCGCTTCTAAGCAAAACGGCGACCGGTTTTGGGCGTCTCGGAAGCTACTGTATCACCCCAAGTGATAAAAATTCGAAAATGCCTGGAGGCATTTTTGGCCGTTTTTTCACACACCTCTTTAGAGTCAACGGGCGCCTGACCGTCTATGGACCAGGTGGAGTTTTTGTCCTGAAAATTTACCTTTAGACGGCAATTCTCTTTATATTTTGTCTATGGTTTTTATGCCCCCCCTTTCTCGCGGACTCTCTTTTCACTTTTCTTGCCTCCTTGTTCCTTCCATTTCCCCCTTCTTCCTTGCTTTCACTGCCCAACCTTGTTGCCTTTTCCTTTTTCCCCCTTGTCCTTTCTTCCCTTTTTTTCCTTTTCCTTTTCCCCCCTTTTTTTCCCTCTCCTCTTCTTTCGTGGCGCCCCCCAAAGGCTGGCGCCCGTGTGCGCCGTACGCCCTGCACACGCCCTAAGTCCGGGCCTGAGGATTTGAAGGACTATTTGGGTCAGCGCATCTGTATAAGCTCGAAAACTGTCGGTCAGTTTATCCTTGACTCCCTCCGTTTCGTCCGTTGGTCGGGGAAACTCCAATAGATTTCGCTGTCCGTTGATTGAATGAAAACATCCGAACCGCTCAAGCTCAACTCATTCAAAGTCTCGATATCCGGATTACGCAAAGGAACGTTCAAGAGGGTCTGGATCTCGCTGAAGAAAAGCGTGCTCATGATTATGGCGGAAACTGCGAAAACCAGGAACAAATCCTTCCCCTTGCGTAATCAGAGACAATGTATTTTAAAGACCCCGCACTCCTAGCTGCTTCCAGTGAAAAAGCTACTCTCGGAAGTTGACGCTCAGATGCCGAACTGGATTCGCTTTCATGTTCATAAAGTCCCTCATCAATCATCATAAAGCGAAAAAAGTAGCCTTCACTTCCGAATTTAACTCCCAATTAGCACGACAGATTGCAATTAGTAGCAATTACATTGTAAAAATATTGCAATTCCACAGAGTGATGCGTATATTGCCTAGCTCCTACTTGAAGGGGCCCCATTTATTGAAACTTATTGCAATAAAATTGAACTAAGTTGCAATTTTTCATTGCATTGCATGTATCCTATCTTTCCGACACACGGGGCTCATTTTGTTGATTGTTTGAAATTGGCATACGTCGACTAAATGATGTAAAAATATTGCAATTTAATGGTAAAGAAATTACAATTTTATTGAAATCAAATTTCAATTCAATCTCAATATTTTCGTTGTACTGTGCTACTTGAGCTTTTGCCTCACCCAATTACATTGCTCAGTTGATTAGTGCGGTGCCTCTACAATATCGACGGTGAAACTACTAGACCACGTATCTCGTATGCGCGGTATTTACAAATCTCCGCTCCCATTTTATTTTTCTGAAGGAGCATAAATCAATATCAGTTCTCGAAATTTTTACAGAGTTTTTTCCGCATAAAGAGGAAAAAACAAGGAAATTTTCAAGCTTTGACGTAGAGTAGTTTTCCATTTAAAAAATAAAGTATGATGACAGAAAGTCTACAACGTCGCAAACCGAGATACATGGTCTGTAGTTTCACCGTCAAAGTTCTCGCTTAAGTTGTGAGAAATGTAGACATCCTTTCGAAAACGTTTATTCCTTGCTTTAAGGGATTATGTGAATAGTCCATTGATGGCGGAAGGCACATTTCCGATTTTCTGACCGCCCATGGTGTCAGGTATAACTCCAGATCCTTTCCCTTACAAATGACGTTAGTTTCAGCTACCTCCATCTCAGTTTCGGTCGAAAAGGGAAAATACAGAAATGAAGTGGCGGAATAAGTCCATAGCGTTAAAAAAACTACTTTTTAAAAGAGAAAATTAATTAAGGGCATAATTCAATAGATGCAGGAGAATCTCAAATAAATGAAGTTTGAACTGACTTGATGGGTGGAAAGTTTAAAAATTTCTCATTTTTTTACTCTAATTTTAACTTGCTAATTTTTCGGATCCTGACGTCAAGTTTGCTGTCACTCTCCTCTTTTAAATGGCGACAGTGAAAATTTTTAGTTTTTCATCGAAGGAAAATAGCTGATGGTAGTGAAGAGGCAGTACATCTTGAACAAAGTTTTTTGCAATTTTTTCCTAAATATTTTGACAGTAAGTATAGGAAATGTATAAACATATTTTACAAGTTACATACAAGCTATCAAAAAATACATTAATGTACAAAATGTACAGGTACACCCAACTTTTAATGTACGCACAGAACCGTTCATCGCCCCGTCCACTTCAACCCCCTGTGTCTCCGAAAATTTTCAAATCAAGCTGAAATTATTCTTTGAGACTTACGGCATCATACGCCTCAGTTTGGCGCGAGTCCCATATGCCGAATCAATAGCCTGAAAAGGGGCGAATTTTGGCCCTTTTTTTAAGAAAAGACTCTTCCTCCCATGCAGGCAAGAATAATCACACTTCGGGCTCCTTTTTTTTCAAATACGCTCCAAATTCTTCTTACGAGAGGAACTATCGTGAAAAATCCATGCGTACAACATTGAAATCTTCAACAGAAAAGATACTGCAGTCTAAAAGTAAGACATTTTCAAACGAAAATCCTACGCAAGAAATTTTGTCGAAAATTACGGAACTTGACATCAAAGAGGTATATGCATCGCCCATAAGAATTGGGCCCAGAACGGAATCTTGTCATACCTTCACCTTTTGTAAAGAAAGGTTAGAGAAGTTAAAAAATGGCGGACTTTTTGATCTAGCCCCCGGGGGGAGGGGGGGTCAAAGAAAAATCAACTTTTACCCATAACTTTTGAACGGTTGCAGTTATTGAGTTGAACTTTTTTTAAATAAAAGAATACTTAAAAAGACCTTTCTATCGAGCATAAGAAATTGACAATCGTTTAATTTTTGGCAAAGTTATGGCTCATCAAATTTTTGGAAAAATTTTAATTTTGGATTTTTCCATTTTTCGACGGGAGGGGTCGCACGAAATGTTGTGAATATGTGTGCAAAAAATAGCCCTTGTTTTCTTCTTTAAAATGAGCTAGGAACATGTTGGGGGAAATGATTAGTTTCGGAGTTATGCTTTTTCAAAGTTGACTCGACAGGGTACGTATATGGGCCTCGGGCCAGAGTCCCGCAGCTGCGCCCGGGAGCGCCCTGTTCCATGTTCATCTCCGTAATTTTTTAACATTTTACACCATTTTGACGATTTAGTAAGCATACATATAAGGATCAATATGTTATATGTAATTTCCCTCCCCTCTTTTTTATTTCATCTCAAGTCTAAAGGCATATGTCTCGAAGGAATGGGAGCGTTTACGAAAAGAGGGGATTTGACATTAATTTTATATTTTACTGTCATGATTGACTTTAACTGATTATTGTATTTTGTTCTGGTACCCAAAATCAATGCTCAGAATTCTTTTTTGTCCTTAATGAATACTACCAAATCACAGAACCATTTCCTGAAATGGTGTCAAGATAGATCTTCAGAACTATTAAACCAAGCTTACTAAACCAAAGGTTACTCAAGTTGATTTTTCTTTGACCCCCCCCCCACCGGGAGGGGGCTGGATCAAAAAGTCCGCCATTTTTGAACTTCTCTAACCTCTCTTTACAAGAAGTGGAGCTATGACAAGATTCCGTTCTGGGCCCAATTCTTATGGGGGATGCATATACCTCTTTAAGGTATGCCCGCTGTACCTTAATTACACGTATAATGTTTCAGCACATCGCACTTTGATGATTAGCCTCAATTTTGACGATGTTTGTGATACTGCGGGTATCTGAATACATACATTATCAGTTCACATTAGCCAATTGCTCAAAGAGAGACTTTTTTGTCTTCAGTGCCACACAAATGCCCCTTTTACGCTAGTTAGAAATCATGGTCAGGTAGTTTGGGATATCAAACTTAAAAATTTCTGTTACATTTCAAATTTCTCGAAATTTGCAGAATATGGTCCTCTTTAAGTTATGTGATAACCATCATGCACCAGGCCCTGAATTTTGTTTCACCGCATATTTGGTTGAGATCGTGATTCAGTCTTCTTGTAAGCTACTTTGACGTACTTCTTGAGATAGTTTTTGGTAAGCATCGTTCATAATAGAGTAAGTCTTTTCGATGAGTTGATTCATATCATCTTTGGTCAACCCTGCCGTTGGGATCGGAGGTAATATTTGGACCTCGGCCATCCCTGAAAAAGATTCCAAAATTGTGTAACAACCTTAAATTTTTAACAATGTTTGCAGAATAAAGTAAAACTTACAATTAGCAAAGTGACAAAAATTGGTATTATCATAATACAACATTTATCTGGGGATTAAGGAAAGAGGCTCTTATCCCGCGTATGTCTTAGAGGCATTATCGTGCACAATTATCACAAATTGCATACTCTAATGTATGTAGGCGCTTATCTATTGAGTCATAGCCAAAAACTGTGAGTCCATGTTGTATTACAACAAGAGATGAGTAATTATTACTTAGAATAACAATTTGAGCAAAATTTGTGCTTAGTTAACGTAAATTGCATACATGGCTATTTGCAGGCATTTTATACCGCTACGAAAGCGCGAACTTGCGTCGTGTTTCAAAATAAGTAATGCTCACCCTAACTATAAAAGGACAAGAAAGTACTTATGCGTGATGGTCAGAAACTGCCACTTATGTTGCCGGGCTAAGCACACACCGCAGATCTGGATAATTTCAATCAGAGATTGGCAAATTTTACTTATTATGGCTATGACAGAATAGGCAACCATCAGTGCAACATTGACATAAATTCCATCTGTAACTATTCGGAATTGTAAACCATCTCTTTTTCAATGTGAGCCTCGTTTCTTCTTAGTCATTCTTTGTCTCTTTGTCGCAATCATTTCCGATTTTTTTTTTTTTTTTTTTTTTTTCCCGGTAAGAAAACAGAGTTATCGATGTCATATGCGGTTAGAATTTAGACTTGTCTTTACCTGAGTCGAAGGTGTGTGCTTTAGCGTCAAGGAAGGGGTAGCGAGCGATGATGATTGGCTGGATGGGAGTCTGCGAGGCGATGGCGACGTGAAATGCGCCTTTCTTGAACGGAAGCAACTCCGCTCCTCCGTTTCGAGTGCCCTCGGGGAACATGCCCAGCTTGATCTGCAAACAAAGTCAACATGCCAACTAATCAGGAAAGCAATGAAGCCCGCTCGTGAATAAAGGCTAGGAGCACATCTTCGTAAGGATTTTTCAATGTTCCCTGTTAAGTTATATTACGATCCTTTTTAGTTTTTCTCAGAATTTTCTATTTTCTCGCTGTATTAGACTGTTTGTAACATTTAAAAAAAAATCGCATCCTCATCTGGTCATTATTGCAGGAAATTTAAAGAGATCATCGAATTTTTAAAAAGTCCAAAAAAATCTCAAAATTTATCACATTGTAATTAAAAATGTGCAGAATCTCGGATTGGGTTTATTAAAATCATTTTTTTAAAATGAAGTATGAAACGAGCGAAAATATTCCGTCAAAATTTCCGGCGACTGAAGAAAATCCGCGGAAATTCTTTAGAAAAACTGTATTTGCCTTTCGTAACAAGAATGATTAAAAATGAGACATTATTTGAGGTCTGCAACGTTGCAGTCGGAGCTAAATACGCTTCCTTACGCGTGTAGGAGAGGATATGTGAACTCATTCACGGCACGCGCAGTGATACAAGTATTCGACCACGGGTGTAAGCATGTTGCTGCCAGCCGGATTGAAGGCGCGCCACACTCCAGCAATTACTCGGGCCCCGTCCCGTGCGATCTCCCTGGCTGGCGCGCCGCTAAATTATCCTTGCCTCTCTGTCCCGTTTTTACCAAAATTGGAGTGAAAGTGTATCCCTGAATTGTAACGATTCAAAATCTCGGATCGGGTTTATAAATTTCATTTTTTTAAAATGAGGTATGATGAAACGCGCGAAAATATTACGTCAAAAGGACTACGTGCAAAACGGGACATTTCGGGCTCGGGGCGGATACCTTTGAGACTTGCCCTATTCATTCACCTAACAATGCCCCATCTTTTCCCAAAGTTTCAAGCTCCCCAAAAATTTTGGGGAGACGCGGCGGGGGGTCAAAGTTAAAAACCGGCAAAATTTTCGCGAATTTATTACTCGAAAACCAGGAAGTTTTGGAAAACGCGGTTTAAACAAGCGTATTCAGCGTGACGAGAGCTTCCAGAAAATGTAGAACATCATAGGGTCTTGTCAACTTCAGCTCGAGTTATCGCCTCCGAAGCGCCGGAACGCTCAAAAAGGACCCCTTATTTTTTCACTTTTGGGCCGATTTAAAAAAAAAAGCCATTTTTTTTATTTTGACGAAAAACTGATATGTTGTTCTTGACTTTCTGTAACCCCTCTAGCTCTTACCGCATGCTGGGGAAATGTTTTGGTCGGGAGTTATAAGAGCGGAAAGGAGCGAAGGTCGGGAAAATCGGCTATTTTAAACTGCGCACGCGGCGTTGATCGGAGGGAAAACGTCCCCTCCGACTCAGTTCGGCGAATCACACTCCTCTGCCGACCTCGCATTGTTGCCACATGTCTCCTGATCCGTCGCCGCGGGTAGATTAAAATAGCCGATTTTCCCGACCTTCGCTCCTTTCCGCTCTTATAACTCGCGACCAAAACATTTTCCAAGCATGCGGTAAAGAGCTAGAGGGGCTACAGAGAGTCAAGAACAAAATATCAGTTTTTCGTCAAAATAAAAAAATTGTATTTTTTTAAATCGGCCCAAACGTTAAAAAATAAGGGGTCTTTTTTGAGCGTTCCGGCGCTTCGGAGGCGATAACTCGAGCTGAAGTTGACAAGTCCCTATTGTGTTCTACATTTTCTGAAAGCTCTCGTCACGCTGAGTACGCTTGTTTAAACCGCGTTTTCCAAAACTTCTTGGTTTTCGAGTAATAAATTCGGGAAAATTTTGCCGGTTTTTAAAGTTGACCCCCCCCCNCCCCCCCCCCCCCGCGTCACCCCAAAATATTTGAGGAGCTTGAAACTTTGGGAAAAGATGGGGCATTGTTAGGTGAATGAAGAGGGCAAGTCTCAAAGGTATACGCCCCGAGCCCGAAATGGCCCGTTTTGCACGTAGTCCTTTCCGGCGACTGACTAAAATCCGCGAAAATTCCTTAGAAAAACTGTATTTGCCATTCGTAACAAGAATGAATAAAAATGAGACATTATTTGAGGTCTGCAGCGTTGCAGTCGGGGCTAAATACGCTTCCTTACGCGTGTTGAAAAGGATATTTGAACTCATTCACGGCAGGCGCAGTGATACAACTATTCGACCACGGGTGTAAGCATGTTGCTGCCAGCCGGATTGAAGGCGCGCCGCAATCCAGAAATTACTAGAGTCCCGGCCCGTGCGATCTCCCTGGCTGGCGCGCCGCTAAAATCGCCTGAAAAGGGAGGACTGCACGTCATTATCCTCGACTCTCTGTCCCGTTTTTACCACAATTTGAGTGAAAGTGTATCATTGAATTGTAATGATTCTTAGGTTACCTACCTTGTTTTTGCGAACGGACTCGCCCATTTTGTTGAGCGTGCTGACAGCCTTTTCCGGCTTTGTTTTATCAATAAAGGTGACCCCTTGAAGCCAGGCACTGGGACCATAAGGAAAATAGTATAAGACCTCTTTCTTGGCGATCGGGCTGAGACCCTCCATAAACGGCCACAGCTCGGCAAAAACTGTAACAGGGACCAACATTCATAAATTGATCACGAAAATGATGAAATTAAGTTTGTTCACGAGGGAAAGAACTATAATATATACGGAGAGAACATTTTCAATGGAATTATTCCTATTGAGTTGTGACGGAAAATTGGATTTTGAGATTCTGATGTACTCTCTTCGCGTAATGCGTAATGTTCTAAAGAATAGGAAACACACTTGCTATCAGCAGAAAAATAAAATTATTCATGGAAGTATAATAGTAGCCAATCCTTGCGCTTTAATAGACAATAAGACTAAAACTTTAAAACTTATATAATGCTTGAAGACTTTTGGTGTATGCCCATTCTCATATTGTGAAACAGTAGACTCTCTATTCCTTTATTATTCAACACGATTTTTTCATTACTGAAGCTTGGCATTTCCAGACATAAAAGGAAAGAACCTTGTTTACTACCAAGTAGCAGTGATCGCGATTAGTCGCGATTTGATCGGATAATATTTCGCGATTTTATCGACATCGATTTATTGCAATATCATCAGAAAAAAATTGCGATTAAGTGCGATTTCATCGCTTAAATTTGCAATTAAATCGCGATTTTATCGACGACGTTTCGTCAAAGACATTCATCATCCAACAAGAAATCGTGATAACTTGAGATAAAATTTCGATTTTATGGAGATAAACTTGCGACAAGAATTGAATCAGTGAGAACGATAACACACCAACTCGAAAAAATGAAAAGAACGAGGACAGGAAGACACACACAAAACTGCGCAGTAGGTGAAGAAGTAATAGTCCAAGAAGAAAATTTTTGGTGCCGAAAGACAAGTACTTAAGGACACTTTAAAGGTCCAAATTGGAACAGATTCGGTAGCTTCAAAGACTTTTATGAAAATTGACTGTCCTTAGTGAAAATTGAGGATTTTAGAGTTACCGAGTTGGTGTGTTTTCGTTCTCACTGATTCAATTAGGATAATCGCTTTGCTGTTGATCATTTAAGCGATTTTATCGCTAAAAAATTGTAAGAAAATCGCAACTTAATTTCAAAATATCGCAAATTTTCCGTTAAAAAAAGCTACTTAGGTTTGAGCAAAAATTGAAAATGTGTTCAATGTATTTTTTTTTTTTTTTTTCAATTAAACCGTGACCATGTTTTACAAGAATTATAGAAAATTGGTCCAGCTTGGACCTCCTGATTACAAAAAAAAGCCCAAAGGTCGTTTTAATAATGTGACGATTTTATGCCCTGCTGAACAGCTATTCCTCGAAACTGCGGTTTGTAAACTGCAAATTTTAAACCGCCAATACCTCGGTATAGTTTGAAACTTTGAGGTGTTTTTAACTCAAAAATGTTTGTAATATACGTTTCTATACTCTGGTACCGATAACACAATTTTTAGTATCAATAAACTGGGATCCGTAATTTTGTTGACGGCCACAATTGTTTTGTGCTTACTTGATTCGTTCGGTTGGGTCGGGGTATCTATGTGGTGCTTTTTGCCCCGCAGACCTGTATGATGAAAGAGTGCCTATAGTAGCCCCTTGCCACTCGTGTTGCTTGCTTTCGCACGTCCATTTTTCACCTGAGCGTCAAACCCAAAGCAATTGAGAATAGAGTGCTTCGTGCCGCGCCGGCGCACATTGAATCGAGTCAATAGGAGAGGTCGGGCAAAATGTTGAAACTTTAAAAGCTTATAACTCCGTTTTTACACAATTTTGAGGTTCTATAAGTTGTTCCATCGGTTTCCTCGTAAAACTTTCTTCCTCAAGCACCCCTTGAAATTTAAAGTGTGACGAAATAAACATCAAAATTTGCGGTTTTAATCCAAAATTTCATGTCTGACCTCTCTAATTGATTCGATCCTTTGTTCGGCGTGGCACCGCTTGCTTCGCTCAACGGGCAAAACAGCCCAAAGCGCCTTCAACGGTCTGGATATGCAACGAGGGAATCCCTCGAACACGAATAGTTGCATCCAGGCATTAGCACCAACATCTAGCCTCACAGCATTGATCGAACACTGTGCAACTATTCTGTCGTGTTGAATAAACCACAGTATGAACATTTAAAGGTTGAAAACGTTCCTCCCGGTGTTAAATTTATATTTAGCGAAAGTTATTAATATTTTTTATTAGATACCATTTATCAAAGTGCGGATAAGATTCTTTGAAAAATCGGAGGAAAAATATTCACAATTTTCCTCGGAAATTCGTATTTGTTCAAGGAAATTTTGCGACGTTTGAATGTCTTCGGCTAGAATGGCATATCTTTAAGTACGCCCGGCAAGGTGATTGTTGAAATTGATTCACAAAGCAATGAACGAGAGAGACAAAGGGATAATGGAGTGATCGTATTGGTGGAAGCGGGTGGTTACAAAAGACAAAATGTAAGTAATAGACTAACGAACGGTAACCCACTAGAGACCCTATGGTTTGTCCATCATTCTCCCCTTAGTTCATCATACCACCCAGTTCAACCGCAATAAAATGGCTCCATTTTCCCTTTAACTTATTTGTCAATCTTTGCACGGAGGAGAGAAGGCACTCTGTTTTATTCGGCTCCTAATATCAATTGAACAATGTAGTCTTTTTTTCTTCCCAAAGCAAAGACTAAAGCGCAGCAATTTTTAGATTTATTGGAGTTAATTTCCTGAGTTAGCAGTAAAATAGCTGGAAAACTGGAAAGAGTGTTTACCTACCAATGAGAATACTGACTTACCAACTAAATCTATCGCACTCTGATGATTGATCAGAACAACTGATCCAAAATGGCTGGAAAACTGGAAAGAGTGTTTACCTACCAATGAGAATACTGACTTACCAACTAAATCTATCGCACTCTGATGATTGATCAGAACAACTGATCCGCTGTCGTTGACGATATTTTCATACCCGCGAATTTTCCACCTTACACCAACCAACCTCGATACAAGTCGGATTGCCCATGAAGTTTTTCTAAAAAGCAATAGAGAGGCTCAAATGTATTATTACAGCAAAATTATTTCGAAAAAAACGGAATAAACAGTACAATGGGACTTTTTAAAAGTAACGACGCGTCTTATTTCTCTTTATATCTTCCGTATTTTGCTTTCCATCCACTAAAAAGAGATTTCTTGAAAGAGAGTGCTTTCCTCTTCAGACCATTGTTTTTCCATTAGTATTTTGTTACGGGTAGGCTAAAAACCCATAAGCTTTGCTTGTCTCGTCTCAGAGTAATTAATCAAACATTAGGGACTCAATCACGGCACAATAAGATAATAATTATGAAAATTAATGACTGAATATCCTGAGATTTTTCAAGAGAGGGGTAATACAGTAAACCCTCTTCCATCCCCCACTCACACCTTCCGCAACCCCCGCTATGTGGAGGAAACCATCAAACTTGATTAATTACTCCTTCTTGATACCGAGCGATACCTCATTGGCAGCATAGAGCAAGGCAGTTCAAGTTCACGCCTCGCGCCATCGCGCCTTCAATTTTGCAGATGCAACACTGACATCCTCTAGGCATGAATAGTTGTATCTCTACGCCGTTATCAACGCGCGTCCTTTCCCTGACTTTATTCCCATGTTGTGTTGATTCCTTTTGTTTTATTTGTAGTGGTGCTGTTAGGGCTACGTGAACAACACCGGCGAAGATAAGAGAGTTGTAATTGGGCCTCAACTTATAAGTTTTCTCACTATGTAATTCAAGCGACACCTCATTAGCAGCATAGATCGAAGCGTTGCAAATTCACGCCTCGCGCCATGGCGCCTTCAATTTTGCAGATGCAACATGGACATCCATCAAGCAAAAATAGTCGTATCTTTGCGCCGTCATTGTTAGAGTGTTCCTTATTTTTGAAATTTGAGAAAAGTAATGTGAAGTTTCCTAAAAATATGCTATGATATGTCCAAATCAATAATGATTTTGAACTAAGAAAAAGAAAAAGGAAAAAAAGAAAGAAAAAATGTGTAAAAGTCTCTCGCGCGTCTTAAAGGGCAAACGTCTAAAATTTGGTAGGTATTTTGGGGAGAGTTGTGATTTGTCTAGGATTTTCTTTCTTTACAACTACCCCTAGTAATCTCAAGCCGGGTCAAATTGATCCGACTGTATCTCCTGGAGGCGAGTTACATATGGTGGATGAGGAGTGGTAAGAAAACGTCAATATGATGCAGTATGATTCCACGAAGGTGACTATTTCAAAAAAGTATTTCTTACCCTCCAAAACATATAAATAACAAATATATAATACTTCAAAAACAATCAAAATCAATGGATTTCGATACGAGTTAAATACTTGACGCATAGAAGAAGTGTTGGGCATCTATGGGTTAAGGTTCAAAAATACAAAACACAAGTGAATGATTTTCTCTACGAATTGTTTCATATTTAGAATTACAAGTTCCTGATTCCTTTTTATCTATAAAAAAGCTGCTCATATTTTATAAGATGGTGTGAATTTTTGGGGACATTTCTCTGCCAAAAATACTCAGAATGGAAAGCTCACGACTTTTGCCACTTGAGATGAAATTTCAAATTTTTGATCCGAAATAAAAGCAAATAAAAGTTATATTTCCTGATGATTTTTTTATTAAATACTTACAGACCATTCTTCCAGCCTCGAGGTTGAAGCAACATTATCGGGAGGAAGAGAGCAGAGAAAAAAGCCATTCCGAGTACGAATGAGACAAATTTGAAATAGTAGCGGAACGTCTTACTTGCATTTATGACAGCATTAACCAATGCAGTTATCAAGATAGTACCACTCAGTATTCCACCAGCGAGGAGGGCCATTATAAATAAATGCTCCCTGTCACCTGTGAACCCATAAGAAAAGAGGTGGCACTATCATTCATGCATGAAAAGAGAGGCATGGGAATCAGCGATATGGTCAGCGACGAATATAGACAATTCTGAAACCGACAGGTTGATCCTTCTTAACTCGAGTCCTGCTGCTTATCTTTTTGCCTAATGAAATATTGAAGGCGCTTTTCTTACCGCACCTTTTTCTTAACTGCACGGCTCTCCCGCTCCCCAATGTTTAACGCGCTAGAGAAAAAATCAAGAACTATCTCCGAAAGCATGCTAGCAAAACGATGGCTGTCCTCTGAACACGTGCCTTAAACGCAATGTTGCAAAAATTCAGCTTTAGTCATATTTTTAAAATGCAAATAAACTGGGCAATTTCATTTCTTGACATTTTACAGAATCATGCTACTGCTCAGGTCCGATTCGACATTACTGAATGTCCACTATCAAACTTTCTCGGTGGAATCGGTAGAAATGAATCAATATTCATCGAACTTTTTATACTTGCCTGTCTGTCTACGATGTCTGAGCCAATCTATATTGGAAATTTAGTAAACCTCTGAATTGGAGGTACACTTTCTTCAACTTTCCATAAGTCACTAACAATTTGATTGTAAACGATAAAGAACGATAATACTTACTGAAAACTCCCTAATTCAGATCAAACTAAAATCGATGCACCAATTATATACACAAAAATGAATGCTCTTTTAAAATTGATGGTAACTAGGAGGACTGGCAGAACAGTGGCTGCCGTGGCAAATTGAAGAATTTCAACTGGTTCATAACTGCTGAGGGCTCGGATTATTCGATGAGATCCCCCAATTTCAGGAAAACTGGGTGCAAAAAAAATTGCTAATTGCTCCTGCGTCCTGAGTATTGATCGTGGCATGAATTTAAAAATTTACGGTCGCACAGTGGTGTTGTTTCTAGCAGAGAATTGAAACCGGTCCAGAAAAGGCGTGGTTTGTGTCGCACTTCACGCGAGCTCGAAACGTCTGGACGACTCAATTGCTTGACTGGGTGATGCTTCAATAATCTGCGAGTTGTGTTGCTTGTTGCTGTAAAATTTTGCTCCAAGTAACGATGGTGAAAGTAAAAAAAACCGCGTAAGTGCCTTGAATGCGACTTTTTGAAATATCTGTTGTTTTTGTAGGTAGTTTTTTTTACCAAAAAAAAATAAATAAAAATAAAAAAATGTTCTAAAAAACTGAAATTTAGATACCTACTAAGTTTTGTAATCTCACGATCTATGTGAAAAGGATTAATTTTCTTGACTTTGCTTCAATCGACTCAAATCTACATACATACAAGTCGCTTTATAGGACTCCTTGGCGCTCTACGACACCTTAGCTCCACTTCCCTCTGTCGAAGTATGATCCTTCGGGCATTGAGCACCTTAACATTTCTGCCTCAATCCCGTCCCTCCAACCTCTCATTGGGCGTCCTCTACGCCCTCTCCCATGAGGAACCCGATCAAGGATCTTCTTTCGGCAACCTGTCTCCTGTCATTCTCTGAATGATACCATACCAAATGGGCCGTTTCGCCATAATGTAATGCACGGTGGTCTATTTGGCATCAATGATCTCCCTTGCCGTCTCATTCCTGACGCGATCCCTTCTGGAAATTCACTCAAATCTACTTTCGTTAAACTCATGGAACTGTCACTTGATATTTTATGTACCGACACTTTGGATTTCCTGATGGTTTATAATGTCCAGATTTCGACGGTAAGTGGCCCACGGTGAGCAGCCAATTGAATAAACGTACATTTTCGCCCGGTCATTTGAGGCTAATTTTCATAATGAAAACGAGTTCTTGAACGAAATTCAAAGTGAACATTCTCGAATGGAAAGTCAATTGCGCAAGAAGATGGGCAGAACTCATTGTCACTCATTACGTACGTACTATTCTAAGAGCAACTTTCGCAGTCGGGGTTTTTCCCGTAGCAAGTTTACCGTAGGTACTTCTTTTGGCGCGACGGCGTGAGCATTAATCGTTTGCTTCGAAAAGCGCTCAACTTCGAAAAAATTATAAAAGGACGTATTTCGAGTCACGCCTACCTTCTCTACACAGGGTGTCCCAAAAGTCCGCAGCCCCCCTTCCGGTTGCTTTTGAACGGTTAGAGATAGAAAAACGAAAATTTGGGAATGTATCTATCTCAAATGGGATTATCTTAAAGGGGGGTCAACATTTTTGCCCTTCCCTCAAGGGGGCGTACTTTTTTCAAACGGTAGACCTTACCTTGTGATACATCATTGGAAAGAACATGAAAAACTAAGGATTTTGGCGCAAATTGCAGATTAATATCTTAATTTTTGACCGAGTTATGGTCAAAGGTCAAATTTGACCTATTTTTTTAAAAAAAAAAATCGTAACTCTGGCTCAAATTATCGTGGCGAAAACAAGAAAACGGGAAAATTTACTAACTTGTAAGCACTATTATGTGAAAATCACAGAAATCACTTCAAACTAATTTTAAGGGGGGGGGGGGTCAGACCCCGAAGTACGTCAGCTCAAAGGTCATACGATTTTCTGACGAAATGAGCAAATTTTCCCTAGCTTTGCTTCAACGTACATTGTCTCGGTAAGTTCAAAAATTGTTCAACATTGCGTTTCAAGTCCCCAAATTTCCCATTTCACCATCTTCCTATTTCTCCTCTCCTTCTCATACCACTTTCATTTTTTTCCATTCTCTATCATTAATATAAACTTCGAAGGATTCTGCCTTTTTCTATTTCACTCGAGGGGAAGTGTCCCCTCCCGGACTCTCTTCCCCACCCGGTGACTGACGCTGCGCTGTGCTGAACGGTTCAGCCTGAACCTTTCCCCTACGTCTGACCGTTCCCCACTCCTCTGTCAATCGAACCATATGCCACCGCTTACGTATTGTCGCTCGCCCACCCAGGTACCTAGCGGCCAGCGGTCAGTTGATGATAAATCTCGCTCATGCTCCTATGCAGCTACGCATTGATTACGCCAGCTAATTACTTTCTAATAATTAGAATTTCTTCGATAATAGTTTTCTTTATTTATTCGACTGTATTTTTTTCTCTGTTCTACTGTGATTTCCTTGGTTCTCTACTGTGTTTTTCCTAAATCTCTGAGTCAGAAATCTGAAGCACTTCGGTATGCACCGAGTACTTCAGATGTGTGACCTGAAATCTTCGGTATATACCGAACTACTTCAATTGTCTGACCCGAACTTCGGCAGATGGACCTTAACTTTTCGGATGCGTGATCCGAAAACTTCAGAGATCCATATGATCTCAGCTTCGGGTTCCATGCACAAATTTTTTTCTCCGTGTTTCCTTTTAGGGGACGCAACTAAAATTTCAGTAAATTTTTTTCAGAAAAGTAAAGAAAAAGAAAAGAAAAAAAGAAAAAGTGGCTAACGATGGTCCCTCACCTTCACGTGGTGTTGGCTGTTTTTACTAAGTGGGAACCGTCCATTTTAAGATATAGTCTATTTCTTGCCCTGCCATTATTATTCTACAAGTTAATTGTGGAGTGAGAATTTCATAATGTTTTCTATGAAATCTTCAAAATATAGTGATAAAAAATTTGCAACTACTACAAAATCGGCTCGCGAAGCGAGCCGAATGTCACTCGCGTAGCGAGTGACCGGGGGTCCAGGGGGCGTAGCCCCCGGCTAGGCGTGACGGGCGCGCGAAGCGCGCCCAGAACGGCTAGTATTCTAATGAAATCATTTTTAAGACGCTCGATGGACAGAGTAAGGAAGGGGAGTATGACGGTCGATGGGTAGGAGTGAGGAAGGGGAGTTCAAAGGTCAGAGTTTTAATAGTGTGGGCCTTTACTTTCAGAGCCTTTGTTTAGTCATGGAAAGCTATACGTGGCCCTGTCAAGGTCGACTTCCAAAAAGGAATCAACATTTAGAGTCAGGAAACATTCATTAAGAAGTTTGGCGGGAAATTTATCTTGGAAACGTTGTTTTGTTATTCAATTAAAATGATTTACTCATTATAATGAGCAAATCATTTTAAGCGATCATCACGAGCGAAATCCTTGAAATCGAGGATTTCTCTGGGCGCGAGGCGGCCGCTTTTGGGGGCCTTAGGCGCCCCGGGGGTAGGGCCACGTAGCGGCCAGGTAGTAGACCCCCTAGTCATCTCCTAATCATTACCTATTCTTATTCCTCCACTCCTGCTCGCTTGTTAAATGTGTCCACCTCTTCTCCGTTGCACTCTCCTCCTTGTTGAGGAATATAAGTGACTCCTGAATCCCACCATCCGACCATCTTCAATTTGAGCACTGGATTTTGAGCCGTTTGCGACGGGGTCCTAAAATTGGCTGCTCTGAACCGACCGGTACATGATAATTAATTTCGGAGCAAGTCTGGCGGGACGCGGACACGTGGAAATCAAAAGGAATTATCGGCATCCTGGCCTGGGCCCTGGGCCCCAATACAATGCATACATGGCAGGACCGAGGGAGAAGGACCCATCTCGCCATAGCTATGTACTCACTCTTTTGATTTGAATACGTCCATTTGAATTTTGGGAGCTCTTCACGCGCGACCTTGATATAGTTGCCTTGCTCCAGCGAAATACGCGTCTCGCCCTTGACGCGCACAGTGGAACGAGGTCGGACATGAAAGCTTTAACAAAATTATTGGATTTTCCACTACTCACACCATGCTTAAGAAAAATGTGCAAGGAAACGTTCATTTAAAAATTTATCAGTTCATTTGTCATGGCCGAAACGTTTGCTATTAACACAGTGTAAGGTAATTTTTAAATAAACATTCTCTTGCACCCGGTTTTTTTAAGCATGGTGCCTGAGTTTATATATTATCAAAGAAAAAATCGGCTAAAAACTCAATATTTGGAAAGGAACACATCAAGCTGTTCCACATCAGTTATTGCCAAATATAACGGTGCAAATCAATTTTTTACAAAAGAACGTTTGTGTGGATTCCTTTAAAAAGTTTAAGGAATTTGCTTCGTGCTATGCAGGAAATGCCCTGAAATTTGCACTACAATAAGCACAACAAAGATCCTGTAAAAAATTGAGCTGCACAGTTAAATTTGACAATAGCTGATGTGGCTTGGTTCATTTTTGCTTTAACGCGGTCCAACCAAACCTGTAAATTCTAATGTTTATTTTCTCAAGTTATAAATTTTAATAGGTGTTTCTGTAAGGTGCTAATACAATAGGCATCACTTTTTAACTTGTAATTTACGAAAATATAAGCTTTTAAATTGTTAACATCGCGTTCCACTCCTCCGACTGACTCGCGCCGTTGTGCGGCGCCTCGTCATCGGTCGTCGTGGCGGATCATGCAAATCAGTATGAATCGCTCAAATTCATTCGACCCTTCCGCCTTTTTCTCGGCTCCTTTCGCAGTGACCATGACGCAGACATGCCATCGTCAACTTGTCTACCAGCGCCGCTCGTCTTCACCAGAACGGGGGAGGGGGGGAGGGCCTTATACCCCCTAAGCTCCCCCCCCCCCCCCCGGATCGGCCTATGCTCTGAAGGAAGGCGATTCTGAGCTCACGATAAGTACGGGCGCGTTGCAGGGAGGAAGGGGCTGTTACGAACGCATTACGACAGGGAGAGGGTCAGGGAAAACTTGAAAAATTGAAAGTGTTTCAATCGGAGGAAACGTAAAAGGGCGGGGATTTGTTGAGAGAATTTTGGGGGACAGGTCTATAATTTAATGCTTTTTTTCGCAGAAATCGTGATCAAATATTGAGAACTTTTTCACTCTAAACGAGGAAAACCATGAAAAATATGAAGATTCTGTCATATTGGTTTAAAAAACTCAAATAATCAGAGATATTCGATCATGATCAATACCTTCAGAAAAAACATATCGACGGTGAAACTAAGTACCAGATCTCGTATCTCGGTTTGCAACGTCACAGACTCCCTTTCATACTATATTTTTAAAATGAAAAACTTTTCAACGTCAATTCTTGAAAACATCCGTGATTTTTCTTATTTGAGTGAAAAAAAATCTGTGAAAACTTCAAGGAATGATATTGGCTTGTTTTCCTTTACAAGAGTATAAAATGGGAGCAGAGGTTTTTAAACACCGCAAACGAACATGTGGCCTGGTGGTTTCACCGCCAGACAGATAGTAAGTCAGATAGTAGCCCATTCACACGATCATGTTGAGCCATCCGCAAATAACAATGTCATACAGTGAATGGAGATGTTGCATGTGTGAGAAATTTGCGATTTGACTGTTGACTCTTATGTAAAAGTTCGCGAGAAACACGATGTTGCGGCCACTGGTTTCCTCTGAAATTAACTCCCAAGCTCAAAAAAAGCTCTCGAGTTGAGGCCAAATGGAGGAGATATCCCACGCTATTCTGAGAGTCCACCTCTACATCAAAACAAACTCTCCATGCAAAGATAGGGAGCTAATACATTGACAGGGCTGCCACTTTATTTGGGGACTCTAAAACTGAAAACACGGCATCCCTGCTAATGTATTAGCTTAGCACCCTATCTTTGGCATGGAGAGTTTGTTTTGATGTAGACGTGGACTCTCAGGATTGCGTGGGATATCCCCTCCGCATTTTGGCCTCAACTTGAGAGCCGTTTTTGAGCTTGAGAAAACCAGAGGGATCATCGTGTTTCTCGCGAACTTTTACATAAGAATTAACAGTCAAATCGCAAATTCCTCACATACATGCAACATCTCTATACTATATTATCGCCTATATTATACTATAGTATACTATAATCAAAGCTCTTAATTTACAGAAGACCCTCACTGTTTCTTGCCTCGATTTTATCGTATAAGAGGGGCTGTGATAGTTTTCCTTATCATGGTGGTCAGGAGAGACCCTAAAAAACCAGGGCATTTTAGTGAGGAAATACATAGAGACATCAGAGGACTGCTGTTATTGTGATAATAATAATAATAATAATAATAATAAAAACCTGGTGTAGTTTGCAAAGGTTTGAGCAACTATGAATAAACCAACGCAGGGAGGGGGCAGGAACGCGGACACTTTGTCATTGGCGCGTCTTTTCAGGTCTTCCCGCTGAGTTTTGAATTTCCCGCTAGTTTTAGCTGGAAATTAGTTCAGTGAGTGCTCGAAAGAGAGCGTTTCAAAACGTAAATACAGAAACTTAACCTCTGATTCAAACAAAACAACATATTTTAGGAAATTGTGGGAAATTGAAATTGTAAGAAATCGTATTAATTTGTTCATACCCTTGGTATCAGTGATTTTCAATCTTTACAAATTAATTCTATGTGCTCATTAAGAATTTGAAATGTCATCAGATTATGAGCAGTTCGCTAAGGGCCCCCTCAAACTGAAGAAGGACGTTTCTTCTGGAAAAAAGTAAGTGATGGACTAGCTCCGCTGAACTGATGGAATGTTATAACATTCCATCTTACAAGCACTCTATTTCTTTAAATTGAAAATTTCCCATTTATTATGTTACATCTAATACAGCCTCAAGTTAAATATCTGGTGTATCCCTTTTGCTGGTACTGACAGTACACACTGCCATATTGGGCTTTGCAGGATTTCAAATCATCAAGTTAAACTGCAGCCTGACTGTTGAAATTTTTTGTTTGTTGGGACTACATAGATGACATAGGTTAAAAGGCGGAGTGTGATTGGTTGGCTGTGTCTTATCGCTGCTTTGTCGTACCTATGACAGGTTGAACTCGCGACAAGCTAATGGCACCTCGTAAGTTTCTAACAGTGTGTTGTCCATTCCACCTGACAAAGGCACGACAAAGCAGCCATAAGACCTAGCGGACCAATCATGCTCCGCCTTTTAACCTATGTCATCTATGCCGTCCCAACCAACAAAATATTTCAACAATCAGGCTGCTGGAATGAGAAGGTGTGTTGTCAAAGTGAACTGTCTGGTACCGTTTGGAAATGGACTTATCTGATGTCGAGCAGTCGGGTTGTTAGACCATTTGAATTACCTGATGTCTCGTGTGTTCACTTAGGAACACGCAACATTTCTACTGAATGCTCAACAGTCACGAGAGGTTGATGGGACTGTAACTTTGCGTTAAGCCAATAGAAGATTCGAATTGAGTCTTATAGGTTTACTGATAGCTTACTTTGGTGTTGGCTCTAAAGAACTCAATTTTTTTCAATCATGTCAGATGAATGCAGGCACACCCTCAATGTATGTAAGGTTTGAACTCAACTTGCCCCTAACTCGGATGATCTGTAAATTGCTTGACATATACTTACATCACTTGCTGCAAAAAATTAGTCTTTACCCAGAACATAGGTTGCTATGACCAGTGAAAGTCTGAATGTGTTGTTTGCGAGAGGCTATTCTCGCAGTAGAAAACCTGTAATGTAAAATGAATATTAATTCTTACCATTACTTGAAGGCAAAATTACAGTTACTTTAAATTAACCATGACAAATCTTGTAAGCTCAGCTTCCAATGAACTATTCACACCGTCATAGTTCCATATTTTCCCCCCTACTTATTCTGTATTTTGTTATCTTTCAGGAAGAAAAAGGAGAAGCAACGAGAAAAAGAAATAGTAAAACAGGTCACCAATGCCTCAAAAGAAACTGAAAAACCAAAAAATGAAATGAAATTAACCAAGGCTGAGTTGGCTTTTATGAAGCAGCAAGAGAAAATGGTATGTATTCAGATATTTCATTGCTCAAATGTAAAAAGTAGGGTTTGACATTCTATATTGAGACATTACTTCTAAGCATTAATAGGCAATAATGTTTAGCAAGAGCATGATGCAGTCGCAAAAATCAGATTTAATCATTAGATTAAGGCATACTTGGGAATGATTTTATCCATGGAAGCTTTACATTATTCATAAATGAACAATTTTGTAAATTCTTTGCTCGGTCTTGAAAACGACAATAGCAATACATATGTTATCATGGAGATTTTCCATCACTTGTGTCTCAGTACCTACCGAATGAGATTAACTGGTATTTTGAAAAATGAATGTCCTAATGGTATTTTGCAAATCCATAAATTTTGAATTTTTTCTTAAAAAAATAAAGTTAAAGTGTGAATCTATTATTTTATTTTTTATATATGAGGTTATTTAATATAAAGAATTAATTACCTAAATATTGACATCGGAAATTATTTTGACTGTTTCAGAAGAAGGAGCGGATTTTGCAGCTAGCATCGACAACTCACAAACAGCGAGTGGAGAAATTTAATCAACATTTGGACAGTTTAACAGAGCACTTTGATATACCCAAAGTCAGCTGGACCAAATGAAGCCTCACAGCAACCCCAAATGTACATTCTGTATATATTTCTGTATTTTTAGGTTTCTCAGTATCATGCTTTCCTCCTCTTAAAAAATTGTCAAAGCAAAGTTTCATTTTTCCTGTACCATTCTTAAGCATAAATATTCTCATCCCAAAAATATTTTATTTATTCTGAAATTGTAAAATTTACTCAAATCAAATTAAATAAATAAAAAAAAACAAGAACAACATATTTTATTTTAAGAATTTTTCTTATCAACCTATTGGTAATCAGCATCAGCTTTGGTTACAAAAATTGTAACCAAAGAAAAATTTACTAAAAAAAAATCATTTAACTGGAAGCAGAGGATTGCGCTTTGCTAGTTTCAACAGCAATACTGAATGCGCTGAAATATTCTGAGATCAGTGAGAAAAAAGATTGTTTACAAGACTGTCTATTTCAAATTGGTAAAACAAAAATGTGAAAACTTCTGGATGCTTCTCTATCCTAACCCAATATGTCGAACAAAGTCCACTAAATCCATGCCAAATCTAATAATGACAGTTCCAATCAAATCTCATTGGTATCTGAAGTGAAATGCATACTGATTTACGGCAGCCAAGCAATATCTTGTTCCCATTGCTGAAATCAATAATGAAGCGACGAACATCTTTAAAACAAAAAGTAAAAATAAATGATAAAACTTCATTCAAAAAGAATAGTTTGGCTTTTTTATTTCCAGTACGGAGAATCAACAATAAACGTAAAAATAACAAAAATTACTTGGATGTATACAAAAATAGAAAAAATAAATACTGAAAAAAACTGCATAACTTGAGATTTCATTCCAAATAACAGAGAGGAAAAGACAATGGCCACAAAACAGAGTTTGATAAACAGATCAGATAAAAAAAAATTACAGTCACCACTTGGACCAAGTTAAAAAGAGACGCATCAAGTTGTACTTGAGAAAAATAAATGAGTTGCCAGTAGTTTTGAATTAAACCAGTTGTTAATTTTCTCCTGTGAAAAAATCAAAGTCGGGAAAAAATATTCCAAATGTGAAAACAGTCCTTTATCGGGGAAAAATATTCCCAACATGAAAACAGTCCTTAAACTTTGTCTCTAACATTGGGTTTTACGTAGGTATTAAACTTCAAATCTCTCTTTCACAGTTCAAACTGTGCGCAGCAACTTGTGGCATTTCTGTTAACCTCTGTTCATATGACATGGAAACTTTTTCCAGAATCAAAGATTCTATGAGAACTGTTTCAGTGAATATTAATTTTACAACAGCAGTCAGATGCAACCATTCGGGTCTGAAGAAAAAATCAATGCGTTTGGATTCTGTCTGTGATTTTCTAAAAAAAAAAAAACACATTTTTACACCACTCAGCAAGTGAGTTATCTTGAAATTTCATTTAGATCAAGTATGAATTGTCTACATGGAACGCAATGCAATCCGAGTTCACAAAATGATGGATACTTAGGGGGCCATTAAAACACCAGATATACATATTTCCGTTTAAGGTGTTGCAGCCTTCCTGATTAACTTTTCTATTTTCTACATGGAAAACAACTTAACATCATTTCTTAAAAACTTTCGTGATTTTTCTTCTCCATAAAGAATACTTTGCAAAAATTTCAAGTTGTAATGTTAGTTTGATCTCCTTTTAAAAAGTAACATTGGAGCTGAGATTCCAAAAGAAAGCAAAGAAGTTACGAATTTTTCCAAATTCACCGTTGATATGGCATGTTGTTGAGCCAATTGATTGAATTAGGTTAGAAATGACATTACTCAATGCCAAACAGCCTTAAGTAGCTCAGTTTTACTTGTTATTGGGTACAGATTACATATACGTTACAGTGCAAGTTTTATTACATATTTGCTATTACATTTTGCGTAGAGATGGCCAAATAATTTAGGACCACTATATTGATTTCAATAGAGAGCACTGGGTGGTTAAATTTGATTTAAACAGGCAATAAAGTTTAACAGTATGACTAATGCAGTTATTCTCGAGAAAGCACAAACTCTCCTTGCACCTGGTGCCTCAATAACAAAACAATCCTCATTGTGAGTAGTATTCTTAAGAATTACACACTAAATGTAACATAAAACGTGTGAAGCTTCTAACTCTTTCCAAGTGAAAGTTGAGCAATTAAATTTTGCAGTTTCATGCTGTAGCCCTCATCAGTAAGTTTTTGCAAGTAGTCTCTAGTATCCCTCGCGAGTTGTAAAAATTTAGAGAAGCAAGCCTGAAGTTGAGAAAAGTTGGAGTGAACGAATGTGTTGGTTGAGCGATCGACGCTCCATGTACCAAGAACAAGTGCCTCATTGAAAAGGAGCGCATATTTGAATAGCTTATTGAGGGCAATGGCCATTTTTTCTCCTTTAGAAGTCAGGAAACAGCTGTAATATGATACAATTTTGATGTATAGAATTTTAATGCAAAATGTACAAGATATTTGATACAAGAAAACAAGTGTACAATTTATATACTTGCAACACTGTCGAAATCTGAAATTCACAGAACATATTACAATAGAAGGCTTGAGCCGCATCTTTCCAAGAAAATTTATGACCAGAGAGGCAGCAAATAAATACTACATCATTGATTTTGGGGAGAAAATGTAGCAGGATGTTTTCTCTTGATCAATGTACAGTTTCAAATGACCAATAAATCATCAAATTAATATGAAACGCACGGAAAAAACAGCATCATTAAAATGTTCACCATCAGGAAAATCAAAAGTAGTCTTTACCATATGATCATCATCGTGCTAGAGAATTCAAAAGTTGCTACAGCTCCCTCAGTTAGCAACTTCTGGCATCAACTATTGATAGCATTATTGGCCAGCTGCGTACCTTTACATATAGCAATTCCAGGAAGTATAAAAGGTTAGAGGCCCAACTCAATGCTAGGAAATTGAAATAGGCGTTCGTAGCATGTTACAACCTCCTATACTCTCTGAGCAATTTTTTATGGAGGTTACTGTTAAACCCCAGTATTAATTGCCTTTCTTTCTATGGCAGCTAACCGAAAAAACCTCATTTGAAAGCGAGAACTTGTTCATATTTTCATTGGACTAATACTCTAGTGCTATACAGCATTTGATTTATGAAAAATATGTCTCCCAATCATTTACTGATTTAAAATATCCCAACTTTATTTGGTTCAAATGCAAGCAGTCAAAGTTTTGTCTCGGATACTTTTTTTGAAACTCTCTTAGAAAATTTTAAAATGATCAGTAAACTTACTTGAGTGCGACCGCTTTGACATAGGCACCATGCTTATGGTAGACAGAATCAATACAAAAATCTTGCTCAAGTTCTTTAAGAAGATGACTGTATTCTACTTGAATGACACTCTCGTGAAGAAAGCATGCCAAAGGGTGAATGAACTGCGTCATTGAGTGGCGAAACAAACAGATCTGAAAGGAAATCCGTTGGATAAGTTCATTATATTTGAATGCAACGCCATAAATGGATGCACCAAAAAAAATTAACAATGGGTAAATTTTACGTTTAGATGAGCATGTATACAGTCAAATGTACCTCTAGGAGATTTCTGTTTCTTAATTGACTAATGCAAAGTGACATGCAACAGTTGACAAGTGACATTCGGCAATTTTAGATACTACTTCCAAAATTAAAAAGTTATGGGAGAGATGTTTAGAAAATGGAAACATTTTATCAAGAGGAGAGAGCACTAGATTTTAATGGATAGCATGCAATTTAAAACTTTCCGTTACTCTGCATACAGATTATTCATGCTTTCCAATTTCATGATAATTCAGTGATCTAAATGTCACACATGACAGCATTAAAAACTTCATCAACCTAAATGTATTTCATCACTTGACTTTCATTGGGTACGACCACTTGAGATTGCATTAAGTTCAGAGTATGAACAAATCATTCCACTGAATGACTGATTCGATTCATGCTGCAAATTTTCAAACCATGAGTATCTGGAAATTTTTAAATAAATTTAAAATTGAAAGCTGCAAAATTTTTCAAGATTATCAAAATTCAAAAAAAAAATAAATAGTGGGTTCTTACCATGTAGAAAAAAATGACATAGCAGTCACCATACATAAATTTGATGATGTAACTGAATAAAGTACAAAATAATTTTCAAATTCAAGAGAGACTATATGTAATGCAGTGATGTAGACCTGAATTTCAGGGCAGCAGCTAAAAAACATTGACTGGGTACAGAGGAATATCTAAAACTTAGCTGTAGACAATTTCTTTTCTTTTTTATATACTTTGCTTTATGCTCGGTTTTTTGTTTTCACTTTGGTTGCTTACATCATTTTGGTGACTAACCACTTTTTCCTAATTTTCCATAAAAAATATGTATTAAAAAAAAAGCAGAAAATTGATAAAACGAATACTCGTACCTGTTTGTAATGCATGCCTCTTTTCGTTCTGCCACCAAGTAATTTGAACTGACTTATCAAGATCCAATCGACGTATGAAACCTTAAGGAGGAAAGTGAAGATTCGGTTATAGCAGGCGATGGCATCACGAGTGATTATCAAATTAAACGGCCATTCATACAGGTATTGGAGTGAAAAGCTATTAAAGACCTGTTGACATCATAAAAAGCAAAGTAGGTCTCAATGGAAACAATACAATGACTATATATAAGTAGGAATCAATGGTAAAAGTTTGAACCTTATAAGGCTGACCTTATAGATAAATGGGTACTTCCTCATAAATACTCACTATGAATATATTTTGTGAGCATGATCCCCTGTAAACTGCTTATTGAAATTTTGTGGTCACTGATAGGAAATAACGAAACTTAAGTGGAAAGGCAGTACATATCGACAGTGTGAGTCGATAATCACATAACTCGGTTTGCGACGTTGTAGACTTCCTGTCAGACTTAATTTTTTAAACAGAAAACTACTCAACGGCAATGCTTTAAAACTGTCGTGATTTTTCTCCTCTGTGCGAAGAAAATTCTGCAGAAATTTCAAGGAATGATGTCAATTTCTTCTCCTTTAAAAAAGTAACATAGAGGCGGAGATTTTCAGACACCGCAAACGAGAAATGTGAATGCAGACTTACGCTGTCGATATGCGACTGGTTAGTCCCTACTGTCACGTTACTTTTATGCAGACTAGTCATCAGGCTAATAGGACATCTTATGGGGATCAATAATGAATCGAGACCCACCCAATAAATCTGCACACAATCATGAAAAACCAATAGCATGACTCCATTTTACTTTAGTTGCATCTTGTCCTATCAACAGAGAGACAATTTCAATAAGCAGCTACCTGATGTTATCTAGTTTCAAGAACAGAAGAAAGAGCATCTGAAAAAATCAAAAAGCATGTTTATGGCTAATACGTAACGGCTATGGAGCCATTACCTCCATTGGATATCATCTGAATTTAAAGTCATGGATCAAAGCCTTTAAAATGGGTAAGAACCAACTTCCTTGTTCTGGACAGCAAAAAATTAGGGAAACTTAACAATATTTTACCATTACCTGTTCAATAAAAATGATACATTGTTGTAAATAAAGTATCTAAAACTCAGATAGATGTAGAATAAACGGTAAAATATTAAAAATTCCCATGAACTTACAGAACTATCCAGCACAGCTGCCGGAATAATGTCACTATGTCAGCATGACAAGACAAGACATAAGTCTGTCTTAGCCATGAAATATATTTTATTCTGATGTCTTTTCGGGCTGCTTCAAACTTTCAATAATCGGCCTTCAGAGAAGTATCTTTATAACTAGGAAGAACTAAACTTTTTTAACTTCACAAATACGAACAATTGTCTCGCAAGAATAAATTTGAAGTCAGATTCTCGTGAAACAATTTAAAACATCCTCTGCTCTGTTTCTAAAAAAAACCTATTTCAGGAACACTCTTGATTATCTTAAGCCATAGTTTTTACAAAAAGAATACCTCAAGCTCAGTGATATCCAAAATGGCAGGTGGGTTTTGAATGTCCAGTACAAGGTACATTGCAGGATCAATTTCTTCGGAGACAGCCTCAGAGAATGCTTCACTTGCAACGCGAGACCAATTAACTTGGCGAGCATCCAGCCCCTTGAACTCTTGAAAACGCGAAGCCAAACCACACACTAATCCGGTCCTCCAGCCTGCATCATGGAGCAAGTAATGTTTTTTAAGCAGCTGTAGATGACTGAGAAGACCCGTTTGGACAAAATGTTTCATCAAGGCGTGGTTTGCAATGAGTGCTTGAACCCGCAAGGGAAGACGTACTGACTCAATTGTAAGTGAAAGAGCTGTGGTAAGGTTGAATGACCGCGGTTGATTTGAAACTGAAAGAATTTTGTTGAAGGGATCCACCCTTAAAGATATTGCAGAGAGATTTGAATAATGAATATTTTCAAGCTCTGATAAATGTGACGACATAACATCACTTGAAGAGGTGGTTTTATCACCAGAAAAGCTTGAAAAGTCTGGATCTCGTTTTAAACTTTCATCACACAAATTAACAGAATTTATGACAACAGAATCAGAGGTAATAACTGGATCACTTGCAGAGTAAGAGTACTCACTGGTGTGTTCCATTTCTACAGAACAGACTAATTCGTCCTTACAGCTTTTTGCGGAAGGCACAGAAATATTATTTGATTTAGGGGATATATTTAAACCATCAGTTCTATCTTCACTGCTGCGATTACATCCCAAGTTAAAGAGTTTATCATTCAGGTTTGAGTTGAAAGACTGATTGTCATTTGCTGATGCACAGAACTTCTCTTCAGTCACACTCCGAGACTTATCATCACTTCCCAGAGAAAGTTTCCGGTTGTCAGTTGGTAACATACAGGTATCGTTGTTAGAAATGGAACTTTCGTTAATATTAATGATGGAAGATTTAATACTAGTGGAGCCTTTGGAAGCTGTGAGCCCTTCGTCAAATTTTTCATTTGAATTTTTACTGGTTGCTTTCTTCACACTATTATCAGCTTTATGCTCAGGAATGAAATCTGCTAAAATATCACCCAGGTCGGATGATAGAACTTTGTCTCTATTTTTTATTGCCTGTTCTTTATTATAATCAAGGTGATCAGTTTTCAGGCTTTTTGTGGTTTGACTGACTTTAAACTCTGAACTCTTGTTAGTTAAGATATCAAATATGCCTGATGAGAGGACCTTTTCTTTATTTTTTAATGCCTCTGTTTTTCCATCAGAGTTGGTGGTCTGAACATCATCGCCATGAGATGCCAGGCTACTGTTTGGCAATGTATCACCTGCGCCTGATGATGGGATTTCTTCCTTATGTTTTACTTTCTGAGCTTTTTCATCTTCTTGAAAAGCAGTTGGATTATCAGTTGGTGTGACATCAGTTTTTTTGGACTCAGGACCAATTTCTGCGTAGAAATTACTCATTCCTGATGACAGAATTTTCAATCTATTTTTTAACGCTTGGTCTTTATTTGAGAGCCATACTCTGAAATTTAGGTCATTTACACTTGGTTTTGATTCAATTGACAGTGATGTCTCATATTCTGTGGTTTTATCAAGTGGATCGTCCAACTGATCTATTAAACTTCTAACCAATTCTGCTGATGGTGCATCTGTGGCATCTAAAGGTTGAATATCTTCTGCTTTGGGAGGGTCAAATGAGGATGGAGCTTCAGAAGCCTCTGAGAGGGTATCATTGCGGAAGAAGTGAGCTCTGTGCTCAGACAGCTTGGTTCGCTTTAGTTTCCAAACAGTCAAAGCTACACGTTTTTGGGACGTTTCAAGAAGGGACTTGTAAAATTCACCAATTTTGGCCCTGGAAAATAAAAGGTGCTAAATAAAATATGACTACTCATTTTTTTTTTGGTTAGTATTTAAAATTAGTCAGTTGGAAACTAAACCAAATTAACCACATGTGAGATACACCAAAGATAAAAATGATCTATTACAGTAAGGAATGATATGATCTTAAAGAAAAAGTCTTCTGTAAAGAATTTCCCCATTAGCAAACTTGGATTACCGTTTCTCTCCATTAGAAGATCTGCATGGCTCATAACTTCTCCCTTACTTATATAGTTTATCAAAAGTTACCTTAAATAGAAGTCATAATTACTAGAAAACACAATTATAAATGAGACAATATGTGTAAAGATTATATACTTAAAAATTATCAAATTTAAAATTTACAGGGCAAAGTTATGCTGCATTTTTGGAGAAAGAAAAAGTTTGATAATGATTTAAGCTTCAAAAAATCACACGAGACACCGAAAATTAAAGGACTTACTGTCTGGTCTGTTCAAGAATTAAATCTAATTCATGTTCTTTTCTGATTTGCTCTAGCCATTTATTTTCTGCTTCTAGTCTTAGTTTCTGTTGTTCTTCTTTTCGCAGTCTCATTTCATTGATGTGCTGTTTTAAATCCAACAGCTCTTTGTACTTCTTCTCTGCAATTTCTTCTAACCTCTTTCTTCGCTTGGCTGAAAAAAATTATCGACAATAAGTAAATCGAACACACTCATGAAAATACAGGTGGATTATATTCATTTGCAAATGGGAAACCTATATTAATAGCCTTCTGGAGAAAAATATTATGGGCAAAATAAAGAATACAGGTAGATTGTACTCTTCAAAATATAAATTGTATGGAATGCTGACCACGTCTTGTCTAGAGATTTTAATGTTCGTCATGTGACCAAGAAGCTCTAAGATTGATTCCTAACCAAGGATACTGTTCATTAATGGTTATGCTGGGGCTAGATGAATAAGGGTGAGTGAAGGGGACAAGCACAGTCTTTGGACACTATTCCAAATTTGTTACTGTCTACATGAAAAGTTACCTCAGTCCACAAGGGCAAAATTTTCAGCAAGGTGATTTTCTTCAATTGTATCAAAATATTCAATTTTGAAATTCCGACTAAAAACTCTCTCTAATGTCCAAGAGAATACATTGAGAGCAGTTCAATCCATTTTCATTTCATCAAAGTGCTAAATGTAACTGCATTATGATATGTTAATTATGCACCCTTAGCATGACATAGTTGAATTTTATATAACATTTTCTCGATACTATGTAATTTGAATTGCAAACTTCAAACAGCCATAACTCGTGTTTGATTTGAAATTTTGAGGTATTTTTGTCCTAAAATGTTTTATTGAGGACCAATATCGCCGTTTCCGTGGATTTTTACATTCAAACGTAGAACTGCATGATTCAGGGTTTACAATGGCAAACAGAAAATGTCAAATAATCATAAAGTTACTTACCTTCATAGAGAGCTAAATTGCGCTCATGAGCCTGTCTAGCTGCTTCTTGGAGTTGCTCCTCTCTTTCATTAGAGGCTGAGAATTTGAATTTATCACCCGTTCGTAACACTTCTTTGCAGTGTTGATAGTAGGCATCCATCGCAAACTGAAGATCCTCAATCGAATCACAACTATCACAAATTTTTGAAACAATACCAGTTTCATCGATGAGCCTGAAGAGTGGATTCTGTTTCAAAGAAAATAATAATAGCCAGTCAGGTCATTAAAAAGGCTCTGATCAATGAAATTAGGGCTTTGTCGAATGGACATAGATGACAAAGGTGAAGGAATGGCCTAGTGTTAATGGTGGGCTGCATCTGGAAGAAGCCAAGGAAGGTGGATTATTGGGCCAAGTAAAGGATTGGTTATTAAGCAGCAAGGAGATGCTTTTAGCTAATCTATTACTCAGTCCAATAACTCACCTTCCGAGGCTTCCTCCGGACGCAGCCCACTAATGACCAGTGTTCGAAACTCACCTTTGAGTTTCAGGAGCCACGTGGCGCATCAAGCTCGATTTTTAGGAGCCATTAAAGATTTCAGGGGCCAAATTGACTTTATGCCTATATTCCATGGCGCATTTAGTGAAAAGTTAGACGCAATATGTTTTAGTTACAGAACTAGTAACTATAACTTGGGGGAAATTTCGAAAAATCACCAAACAGAAAAATTAGGATTTTTTTTGGAGGGGGAAGGGGCAATTTTTAGGGGCCACGTTGGCGCAGAGCCTTCTTTTTTTAGGCGCCATGACCAATTTCTTAGGCACATTTGGCGCGTTGGCGTTCATGAGTTTCGAACACTGCTAATAACACTGCGCCATTTCACCTTTGTCATCTATGTTCAGTAACTTAATTTCATTAACTGGCCAGCAAGTTTAGATTCACATATGTCTTTCCTATGATGATGTACAGATTTTCAGGGAAGCTTGTGTGATTTTTTCTTTCTACTTTTCTAAAGAATTTTGTCTGCAAACTAACCTGAAAAATATTCATAAATTTCCTCAAAAATAGATGTCTGATCGGAGGACATTTGGCAACATTTGAATGCTCATACAACATTATTCCTCTGCTCAGCAGAGTAGCGTTCAGCTTATGCTATATACAGTTTACTTCTTCTGAGTCAAACTGCATAGGAACCAGATTGTTAGTTCCACTTACAGAGAAATTCCACTTATGGGGCTTTTTGTTCTCATGAAAAATTCGACGGGGCCTTAAAAAAGTTTGACTTAGAGAAAAATTCAATTTAAAAAGCATTCAACTTACAGGAAGTTAACTGTAGCTATGTCATGATAAAAACACTGATTTTGTTGATGTAGCCAGCAGGACTAATCTGAAGGATTTTATCATACTTTAAACTGGGCTTCAAAACTGTGAGAGGTAGATAGATAGACAACTAATGAGATAAGTGACTTACATCTGGATCACATATTTTGAGAAGACAAACTGTTTTCCCACAGGCTAAAATCTCATCTCGGAGATCACTCAGAAAGGAGGGAAGAAGTTTGTTTACACACACAAAGCCACGAGTCCAAAAGCTCCGTGAGTTCGATATAACTTGAGGGAATTTTTTGTCAATGAAAAACTCTTGATGTGGGTCATTTATCTCTCCTTCAAAAATCCATTTGAACAGCCACCTGAGCAAACAACCAAAGGCATAAATTTTGTGTAAGCTTTGAATAAAAAACGAGGAAGATTTAGAGTTAAAACTTCCAGGAAATGATTTCAAAATTATAACAACGACTCAAAAGACTTTTCGATTCAAAGAAGAACCATGCAGTTATTTCACATTGCATATACGCTAGTGCACTAATACTTTGTGCTGCAACGCAACAGCTTCACATTGATTATTTTGCATACAAATTATTCTTAAAAATGGACTATTGGAACCACCAGTATTTAGAAAATACAGTAATTGTGTATTATTTATAAGAGGGTACAAAAGCACAGCATCTTAGACATGGATGTTGCTGAGTGCAAGTCAACGAGCTTCACTCAGATAAAATCTGTCTTATGCAGAAGTAATGCGACCAGCACTTTAGCAGCCCAAGTTTTCATTGACTATCTGATACTAACTGAGCAGCCAAACTTTTTGAGAAAAAGTCTCTCCAGGTGTCCCTGTCTAAGATACCATACTTTAAAGAGACGGGTTACTGAAAGTACTGAGCAGATACTAAATGATTTCTTGAGAAAATGAGGGTTTAAAGAAAAGGGTTACCCCGACTCATGGGTAGAGAAATTTCTCCAAAATGTCTAATCCATGGCCTAAATTTACCCACAAAGGGTGGAGTAGTTTGCCTGCCTGCTTTATTATTGGAATAGACAACCTTCGTATGTGGTTCAGAATGTTCTTCAAAAGTCTTAGGAGTATCTACTTGAATCTATAGTAATCTACTTGATAAAGCAGCTTAATTCATTTATTTCAGTAAAATTGAAAGAATCTGATTAAAAGGAAAAATCTAAATTCATTTGAACACTGAAGAAACCAACCTAAAATAAACGCCCAAACATGGCTGAAGTAATGAATAAACAACCATAGCATCTTCTTTAGTGGGTGTGGCTTGAAGCTCAGAGAAAAGATTATCAATTAGGTGACCACCGGAGGGGGGCTGAGGTATACTCAGACCATGACAAGCACAGCTCACTGTTTGGAGTTGGGAACGGAGTGGTGCAGTGGTGTGCAAGATTGAGGCAAGCGATGTGGTAGATAGGTCCAAAAGGAGGACTGAACAGCGAACAGACTGCAGGTACACAGACAGGGCTTCACACAATGTCTGAAACAAGGAGACAGAAAAATTTAGGGTACAAAAGTCAATACAATGGACGTTTTGACAGTTTTGAGCACTTAACTGTAGGATGATCAAATCAGATGTCTGACTTGAATTATGGTATTACACCATTTTGTTGCAAATAAATCAGAATGAATCACAAGCATAAAATGTTGATTAAAGGTGGCTCCCAGGCCCGATTGAGTGAAACTGGTCAAACTTTATACAACAAGGAAACAAGATACACCCATGTTGAGACCCGAAAAGCATGCAACTTAACTAGGCTTTTCAAAATTTTTTTGTAAAAAAAAAAATATTACTTGAGATTTTTTATGAAGTTTTCAAAAAATTTTCTTAGAGGAGAAATAAAATTACACAAAATTTTACAAGATGGTCATTTACCATTTAAAAATTAAGAAAAGATGGGAAATTTGCAACAACTCAAATCGAAAAATATATGTTTTTTTCTTCTAATTTTCCACCAATTTGCAAGCTGATGACTAATGAGTATATATTCATTAAGTAAAAATAGTTTCTGATGAAAGTCAGATGATTACGACCAGAGTGATAAAATTACTAAAATGTACAGACCAATATTATCTGTAAAAATATTCACCTCATACTTCACCATACAATTCTTTTTTTTAATTTTAATGGAACAATTAAAAACAATTAAGACTAAAATGAATGAAAGTCTCTTACATCGTAAACTAGACCATGACGTCTCCTGTCAGGGTTGGACGCTAAGTTATCTAAGTGGTGTGCTGTGTTACCACAGGACAAAAAATCTTTGACTAGTGCAGATAAGAATGCTTCAGACGTTCCACGTAATTTGATATTCTCAGCAATGGAGAACTTATTTGTTTCCTAGAAAGAAAAAAAAACGCATCAAGATGGAAAAAAATATAGATGATTAGGAATCAAAAAATTCATACATATGGGGTTACTAAATTCTGTCTAACAGTGATTTCCGGTAAAATATTGTAGTCATTTTGGGCCTCAGAGAAATTAATTTTCACTTTCACTTCAAAAGTTTCTTCCAAATATCAAAAATACACTTTGCTTGGACAAAAAAAGTGAGCCTAGACGGTTAAGTCATTGATTTTTTGGCTCAGAAGGCTGCATGAAAACTTGGAACCTTGTGCAATAAAATCTAAGACCATGACTACTTATGTTAGATTCATGCATTGCCTTGATTTATTTTTATGCCTCATCGAAACTGTAAAATCTTCAATGTATTAAATTGAGTATTCTCAATAGAAATAGAGGCAACTGAGACCTTGGACGGATACAGGAAGGTAGAATTTTTTCTCCTCCTTTCCTCACTTGGGCTCCTACAATTTTCACAAATGATCATTTTCACAAAATGTTACAAAAAAGTACAAATTGAATGCTGACTAAAAATCAACGAGCATTTTAGCTTTAAAATATGTTGGAAAGAGATAACGTTTTTGATGGATTGGAGATAAGTTGAAACTGCTTGCGAACTAAATAATTTTTCAAACTTCTAGAGGGATGCAAGTACCTTCACAGGTAGATTAAAACATTTTGGAGTTAAAAAAGGGAAAAAAATGTTGAGGCTTTCCAAATCTTTCTCATTTCTCAAAACAAATCTGAAACCTTGCAATGTATCTTCTGCACCCCCCAAGTAGCAGTGATCGCGATAAATAGCAATTTTATCGGTTGATTATCGCGATTATATCAGTGGCAATTTATTGCAATATTATCGAATAAAAAATTGCGATTTACGGCGATTAAATCGCTATGCATCGCAATTTTTGTTCAATAAAATCGCGATCAATTTTCGTTGATAAAATCGAGATTAAATCGCCATATATCGCGATTTTTGTTGCGATAATATCGCGATAAATTGCTGGGCGATAAAATCGCGATAAATTGCCGGGCGATAAAATCGAGATTTTATTGCAACAAGATAGAGGATAATCGCTCAGGTGTTGATGATCTCAGCGATTTTTTCGCCGACAAAATCGCAACGAATCGCGATTTTTCCGTTGAAAAATGCTACTTGGGCCCTGGAGAAGTATTGACGACTTACTGGATTAAGTAAAAACAGGCGTGATGGAACCCCTACTAGGAGGTATCTTAGATTGTCAATTAATTCCTGCAAACTAACAACTGTTGGGTCATTCTGATACCAGCCCTTGTTGTTGCTGGGTGCCAGCCATTGCATCATCTTGGAAATAGACTCTTCATCCTTGTAACTACTTAGTAGCGGTTTATCGCTGCTGCCAATGCCAATTAGAGAAGTCCATGAGTGACCTGGAGAGGATTCAGCCCTAGGTTCATCGGGCTCTTCAAATTCACTTACAGGTTCGTATCCATCAAAATCTGGTGTAACATAGCCTTCGTCTTGCTGAAAATGGGAATACAAAATCTAAATTTACACGCTAAGTACACACTCTTTGGGTAATACTGGATGGCTGCGACAGAAGCTGGAAATCCAGTGGAGAGAATGAGATTAATGGCTGCTCATCGAAAGCAAAATCGAGTACTTATTGAGGCTTTTTCATTGATAGAATCGAGGACCTCTGAGTGGTTTTCAAAGATTTTGAGACACATCTTTGAGGTCTGAAAAAAATGTGTTTCTTTTTCTTTCTTAATCAGTAGCTTATCTTCAGCAATATATGTAAAGGTGCAATTGTACAACATAAAGCAGAGTCGAAGCTGAGGATTAGAAAAGAGGGGGGGGGGGGCTTCTTACTTACTAAGCAAGGGCTCGGGGCCAGAGAAATGGAGGAAGAAGAGGGGACTCGGGCCCCATTACCCTTGGAGCACTACGCTTGCAACTCAAAATTATGGAAGTCTTTATCACAAAAAAGAAAAAAGAAAACAGTTTTTAGAACACTCATAAATGAAAAAAACAAGAGACTTGAATTTTAAAGTTCCTACTAATGGCTGTATGAGACAAATGCACACCTCAATTCCAAGCTTTAAAAATCTCTGATTAAGTTTTAATCTTGACAAGGAATACTAATCAAAATGTCTTCTTGCAATTTTTTGGGATTTTTTTAGAGCGAGTGTGAAAATTCACAGAAAATCCAATGAACTGTTGGTTCGATTTCCTTTGAAAAAATAAAACATGAGCAGAGACTGACATTTATCACAATCTATACTTTTTATACACATACATTACGCACATTTTTTGTCATCGAATACGAAATGCTATTCAATGAAAATTGGAGAAAACAAAACAAGAACCATCTAACAGGAGTAAGTCATATTTTGTTAGGAGGCAACACTCGAAACATGTTAAGAAAACAAGCAACAATCGAATTTTGTTCAAAGTTTTTCTGTGTTGTGAGAGCGGGGCTTATTTTTGCGCGTAAAATTTAGGAGCCCCTGAAGCAACATTGTTGTGCAACAAGTGCAACGTGCTCAAAGCAAGTCATTTTTACGTTGCAACGCTGTATTCTAACTTAAATTTGGAAGTTGCTCTCTCATTGGTTGTTCAGAATTGCGTAAAAAAAAAGAGGAAAAAAACGGAAACATTTTGTTGTTTCAAACAATACACGACTGTACTTACAACTTAAAAATTAGGCTTGCCTTGCAAGAGTATCGTGTGTTTTAGGTATTAGGCTTACATTAATGATAATTTGTGATCTGTAATCAAGTTTTTTTGCCTTTTACCAAATCAAAAACTCAGTGCAGATGTGGGGACTTAGACTCTTCATTATTATCGGCTTTTGTTTTGGCTTTTAGAAAGTTTACATAGGAGTATTATACCTGTGGCGGGCAGACAGAGGCACTTGGTGGGATTCGTATCTCAAATGGATGATTAAAATTATGCAGTGCTGGAAAACTGTAATCCGTGGAGGTTGAGGTTTTCCTTGAGTCAAGATCAATTAATGAAAACCTTCTGAAAACAAGAAAATGGAAATTATTGAATAAAATTCTATACTCAGTTTCAATTGATATGATCTTTGACTCTACCAACCATCAAAGCCTAGTTCACCAGCATTAGATTTTTCTTACCTTTTCATTTCCGTTATGTTTCACATTGTTCCTTATCTTTGCAAGATATGACTTGTTTGTATGGTTAGTCAACCAATTTTACTGAAACTTTTGTTGAAATTGGGAATCGCTAAGTATAATTGTATATAGGATAGCATCCACCACAAGTACATGTTTCAGAAGATGTGTAGCATGTGCCTCCTTTCAAGTTAGAATATCGTTGCTGAAAAAAATGCAACTTGGAGAATGAGTTCAATGCGCACACAAATGAAGTTCAGTCCTCATTAAATAAATTATGTGATAATGAGTCAGGCAGATACATTTTAGAATTAATGTTAATTTATAGGTATTGTAGGCACTTTCATAAAAGCAATGAGCACTTCATTACACGCTCTTCCTGAGCAGTAATTCTGATTAACATTTGCGCTAACACGCGAAACTTGAGTCAAAACTTATTTTCCTTGGGTTGAACAAGTTTTAAAAACTGACAACATATTTGTCATTTGTTATAAATTATTTGATCTTCGACATGGCAGTCATGTTGAAGATAAGTACATACCTTGATGGAGCAGATGTTTCATAACTAGACGGGTAACTGAGTGAATCAGACGAAATATGGGAAAAGTCAAACAGACTGATGGAATGCTTCACTTGAGATGGATCTTCCATGATTAAGTCCTCCAATAAATTAGTGAAAATGAGTAGAAAAGGAAATTACTCATGTCATTCAGAGCTTGGAATTAAAAATTTATAATATTAGAAGATAATTTAGGTTCAATCATGTTGAAACAATTAAAAATCTTTCCTGAGTTCCTGAGGATTTGAATTTTGAAATTTCAAAACATTACCCAAAAGAGTGAGGTTAAAAAGTTGCCAAAGTTGACAGTACGAAAATTGTATTTCCTAAATTCTTTTTATAGGGATCATCTAAGTCGAATGATACATTTTTAACTTCATAAAATACTTATAATACATTTTTTAAATTTTTTGTGCAATTAAGATTGACTTAAGAGAACTTTTAACTTTTCGAAGAGCTGACTTGAGCTGACAGCATTTTTGCTCTACTTAAAGCGACAACTTGACTCCAGTTTGTTTACCAACAGAACAACAACCACATGTCATTTCATGTTGGTCTGGTTGGTCATGTCTCGTCTGAAATGTCTGAAAGATTTCCATTCATGCTTATTATTTCCGTTCTAGTTTCTAATCCCTTAAAAAAATCATAGTTTCACTGTTGTGCATGGTGCTGTCGCTTTTATGGTTATGTCCATCTAGTCACACTGATCACATCAAACTCTTCAACACCTGAAATCGTTCGTGACTTATTGGGGTAATCTCTGATGCAATGAGGGCAAAACGGAGGTACGCTTTAAGTTCTTATCATTTCAGCTCCAATTCTATCCCACTCAACACTCTCACATCTTACGTCAATTTGAATCATTGCCTCAAAAATATCCATCAAAGGTCATGGATTAAATCTCAACAATTATGCACGAATTTTGTTGGCGAGCTGATGAGAAACCAAGCTTCTGTTTTCTTTTTGGGGGTATTGTAAAATATCACTTAAATGGGAGGATAGGAAGGGATGAGCTTGCAGCATGCATAGCACTAAGTTGATGGTCAAAATTCAAGAACCCACAGAGAAATGAAAGGTGCTGGTAATTTCCGATTTGTTTACGCCGTGTTGCAGAATTTGCGTCAGATAAATTGGCAGTTTTTTACTTTCTGTTTGTAAGCGTCTGCGCTTACACCAATAGCGATCGAGGATTGATCAAGTGTGACAACGTCCTTGTGCTGATGCATGTCGTGCGCAGATGCTGAAAACCAATACCATCCTCTAAAGGGATATTGTTAACAGTGTCTGCTGTGTTGTTACAATCAGAAGTAAACAACCACTAACTTCTCTGATACGAGTTCTAGATGGTAACAATATTGCATCAACATTCTCGCAAAAGAAATTCAAATTAAAGATAATGGGCTTTAACATTGTTAGTTTTTAGCATCGGACTACACAGAATACGAGTTCAGACAATTTTTAACTAATAGTATGACATTTTTTTCATAAATCTCATCAATTTCCAGAAGAATTAATGATCATAGAGTTCACACCCACTCATGTCATTGACATCTCCCCAAGGTTTTGGAAATGCCACCACCTTCTTTTTCTGACTGCCTAGAACTTGCCTATTGGTCCGGATTAATGTAGGCATCACATTTTATGTTTACATCAGCCAAAAAACTTACCTACATATTTCCTTGATTCCTGAGATTTTTCCCTTCTATTCACCAAATATTCTGTGAAAATTTTTAGCCACATAGTTTGCTTGTTTTCCTTTATAAAATACAAAAACCGAAATGATTTTCTAAAATTGTACTCAAGGTAGGAGGTTCCAGAACTAAGCATCTGAAGCTTTGTCGGAGATAAAACAATCCATCAAGTAGGTACAACTTTATTGGGCATTCATTTGTCAGTGCTAGCTTTCCATCTTAGTCCTTGTGAAGGTTTAGCTTTCTAATCCTTTTAATTAAGCACCCTGTATTCATAATAACTTGCTGTTTAAGTACTTTATGAGCTAAAAAAGTAATTTGAACTCTCTCTCCCTGGTAGGTATATTACCGTTGAAGTAATAGCGCCTGGTGCTTCATTTACAAAAGGAGACATAGAAAAAAGTGTACTAGAGGAAGTAGAATGTATCCATGGCGTCTTTGGAAGAGCAGCTGTCACATCTTTTTCTGGTATGTAGCAATTTAAAACTTGTCTTTTCTTCAAAAACTTATCTTTTATCGTTTAATAGGTACTTATATCAAGAAGATCAAACAACTTTGAATTAGAGATCAGCAAGGATCAAAAGTTGTTTTCAGGGGTGGAAAATCTTCTAGACCATTAGATAGGGTAGACGCCATTGGTCACAAGGAAAGATAGGAAGGCCCTAAAAACAGGTTTTAAAAATGGGAAGGCTGGCTAAATTGCAGCGAGAATTACATATTTTTTGCAAAACCTCATTAAGAGTGACGTGTTGTTTGCAAAATCACAGAAATTTATACCTGCAGAGCTTAAGAAAGATCATCTTTTTGAAATTGCTGAGGAAAAAGGGGTTTTATGATGGGATGGTCAAGAACTTTTCGACGTTGACACTCCCAAACCATGTATTTCATTAACTGTTTTTAAAAATCTCCGCTCCCATTTTATTTTTTTGTATGAGAACAAATCACTTTCATACCATCTAGTTTTCTTAGAATTTTCCTCGCCTAGAAAAGGAAAATCACAGAGGTTTTCAAGAATTGAGGTCAGATAGTTTTCCATTTAAAAAATATGGTATGATAGGAAATCTGCAACGTCGCAAACCAAGATATGTGGTTTCGTAGTTTCTCCATCGAAATGGCACTTTTGATTTCTCGGCTGGAAGGTCATCATGTAACCTGGACCATGGAACAAACATTAATTCCTGACCCCTTTTTGATCTATTTCACAGTGAAATACTGGAATCCAGTCACATGCATCTCTCTGATGCGAGTCTTTTTTGGGCCGCACAAGCTCATCACCACAGTATTACCGCTTATCACCAGAATACTAGGCCAGCCAGCCCAGTTCCACACTATCTTCATTGGAGCAACCTTGAAACGCTGTTATTTGAATATTCAGGTAGCCACCCTGCCTTCAGCTAAAGCTTCTTTAATTTTACTCCTCATTGATTCTAGCTCAATTTAAAGTAGCTTTAAATAGTATTGTGATCGATCAAGTATCAAGGCGTATTTGGGTACAAATTGTGAGGGGAAAGAAGGGGAGACAGCCCCCTGTAGACTTAAGTATATAAGTCATAAGCCTAAGAGATACAAGGAAAAATACTAGAACAAATTTTACAAAACTTTCTATC